ATGCCCTAGCTGGATACAGGTATCGAATCTCTAAACTCTTCATGTAGATATGCCCTGGCTGGATACAAGTATCGAGTCTACAATCAGTTACTCACAGATGTGCCCTGGCAAGATACAGGAATTGAATCTGGAATTAGTCGTCAACAGATATTCCCTGGCTGGATACAAGAATCAAATCTTCAAACTCTTCAGACGTGCCCTGGCTAGATACAGGAATAGAATCTGCAATTAGTCGTCAACAGATATGCCCTGGCTGGATACAGGAATAGAATCTTCAAACTCTTCAGACGTGCCCTGGCTAGATACAGGAATCGAATCTGGAATTAGTCATCAACAGATATGCCCTGGCTGGATACAGGAATCGAATCTTCAAACTCTTCAGACGTGCCCTGGCTGGATACAGGAATCGAGTCCGGAATTAGTCGTCAACAGATATGCCCTGGCTGGATACAGGTATTGAATCTTCAAACTCTTCAGACGTGCCCTGGCTGGATACAGGAATCGAGTCCGGAATTAGTCGTCAACAGATATGCCCTGGCTGGATACATGAATTGAATCATCAAACTCTTCAGACGTGCCCTGGCTGGATACAGGAATCGAGTCCGGAATTAGTCGTCAACAGATATGCCCTGGCTGGATACAGGAATCAAATCTTCAAACTCTTTAGACGTGCCCTGGCTGGATACAGGAATCAAGTCCGGAATTAGTCGTCAACAGATATGCCCTGGCTGGATACAGGAATCGAATCTTCAAACTCTTCAGACGTGCCCTGGCTAGATACAGGAATCGAGTCCAGAATTAGTCGTCAACAGATATGCCCTGGCTGGATATAGGAATCGAATCTTCAAACTCTTCAGACGTGCCCTGGCTGGATACAAGAATCGAGTCCGGAATTAGTCGTCAACAAATATGCCCTGGCTGGATACAGGAATCGAATCTTCAAACTCTTCAGACGTGCCTTGGCTAGATACAGGAATCGAGTCCGGAATTAGTCGTCAACAGATATGCCCTGGCTGGATACAGGAATCGAATCTTCAAACTCTTCAGACGTGCCCTAGCTGGATACAGGAATCGAGTCCGGAATTAGTCGTCAATAGATATGCCATGGCTGGATACAGGAATCGAATCTTCAAACTCTTCAGACGTGCCCTGGCTGGATACAGGAATCGAATCCGGAATTTCTTCATGTAGATATGCCCTGGCTAGATACAAGTGTCGAATCCACAAGTAATCGCTCACAGATATGCCCTGGCTAGATACAGGTATCGAATCCAGAATTGCGACAGTTGATAGTAATCATCTTTGTATTGACCTTTTTCTTGAAAAGGCAAAACATTAGTTGTATGCAATGTCGTGAGGTATGAAATGCGTGATGTTCTCGAAATAAATGAGATTGTATGTTCATGATGCGTATGTGCATGTTATAATGTATGAAGATGTGATGTTTATGAATGCATTTTTGTCTAGGAAAATAAATCCTTGACGGATGCCGGGAAGTCAAATCATGGGCTGATGTTGAAGAGTAGAGTTCTTCGTTTCCGCTGGGGATGATGGTTGCAAGGATAAACCGATAGGAGAAGATGACTCCGTTGGGGAATGAACTTGCTGGAGAGATTACTCTACGGGGAGTCACTATGTAAGAAGAGATACTTCGTTGAGATTTTGATGGTAACTCCGCTGGGGATTCTGTTGATAAGTTATGTTGAGGGATTTTGATGAACTCCGCTGGGGGATAGGAAGAACTTCGTCGGGGACGATCTTTCCGTGGTAATTGGCTGAGGATAACCCAGTTATAGGCTCTGGTGAGGAATAACCTTCTGAATAAAGCCGGGGAGAGGCGTTCGTACCCTGCAGGTGATAAGCTTCCAGAATCTACTGGGGATAAGCTTCTAGAATCTACTGGGGAGATTGATTCAACTTTCCTGGGGAGATTTCTGGACTGCACTGGGGAATGGCTCCACTGGATGTCCGGTATTCCGCTGGGGAACAATCTTAGATCAAGACTGCCGGGGATGCTTGCTTAGGAATATCTGTATACTCCGCTGGGGAATATTGAGATCTTCTGGGTATAATCCAACTTCCTTAAGGCTAACAGTAGACTAACTCTGCTGGGGGAGAGTGTTGCTGACTTGCTAGGGATACTGTGCCTTGTTAGGGTTGATTGGAGACCAACTGCTTGGGAGAGTATTGCTGATTTGTCTTACTCGGCGGGGAGTGAAGGTATCTGGGTTACATTCTTCAGCCGAACTTACCTTGGTACCTTGGCGGACAGAGCAACTAGATCGCTTAGACAACTCATTATTGCCCCTGTTTCTGATGTCACCTGTAATTAGTCCTTTGTTTCGCATGCAAATATTTATGAGTTAGCAATTAGTGTCAAATGCATATATCAAAAATGAACATTGGACGTTCTTTGCAAAACAAAACAGAAAAAGGAAAATAATTGGAAATTTATCTGGAAAGTGAATTTGTATTGATTTTTGAAATTTGCCTGTAAATAGGCGTTTATGTACAAGAGGCTGACGTCCTAGTAAGAGAACGCCGCCGAACAACATAAAGTTTATACAATTTTGTGAAAAGGAAAACAAAACAGCTATGTGAAAGGAATAATCCCGTTGGGTTCCAACTCTGCTATCGCCTTCATGTCTTCAAGCGTCTCATCACTTGGCTGCTTAGTTGAAGATGAAGTTGACTGATCGATGCCGTCTGAACCTGATAGCTGATTCCGGATTCTGGATGCAAGGTGATTCAATGAGACATAGTATTACGCTTTAATCTCTAACTTTTGCCTGGACCTCCCTTTCGGGTTTTCGGTCCACCGGGATACCCATTTTTGCCCAAGACGCCTTTTCAGGTTTTCGACTTGTCGGGTGTACAGATTTTTTTCATTTCATCCCTTTTTTTGCCCGAACCCTTTTGGATCGCCGGGAAGCCCTTATTTTTGCCTAGGTGTGTAAACCTAGCGGGTCTTTTATTCATGCGTAGTATCTTTTTACTATGTCTGCATTGACGGGGTGAGGAAGGTCGTCACCATCCATGGTGGTTAGAATCATGGCTCCTCCTGAGAAGATATGCTTAACCACAAATGGCCCTTCGTATGTGGGGGTCCATTTGCCCCTGGGATCACTTTGAGGAAGGATGATGCGTTTGATTACCAGGTCCCCAACTTGATACTCTTGTGGTCTGACTTTCTTGTTAAATGCCCTGATCATTCGTTTTTGATACGTTTGACCATGACTAATAGCAGTGAGTCTCTTTTCGTCAATTAGGTTTAACTGATCAAGTCGAGTCTGGATCCAGTCATCTTCGCTCAAGCCTGCATCCTTCATTATCCGGGGAGAGGTTATCTGAACTTCAATCAGCAAGACTGCCTCCATGCCATAGACCAAGGAAAAGGGAGTTTCCCCGGTTGACGTTCTTGCTGAGGTACGGTACCCATGAAGAGCAAACGGTAACATCTCGTGCCAATCTTTATAGGTCACTGTCATCTTCTGCACAATCTTTTTGATATTATTATTAGTTGCTTCTACAGCCCCATTCATCTTCGGTCAGTAGGGAGAAGAGTTGTGGTGCTGTATCTTGAATTGCTCGCAGAGTTCAGTGATCATCTTGTTATTAAGATTGGTACCTGTTGTACCCCAATTTTTGACCTAAGATTCCATTTTTATTTTTGCATTTTTTTAAGATAAGTCAAGGTCACGAAATACGGTCGGTTTTAACTTCTCACCTTCGAGCTTTGACTATGCGAAGATTGTCAAGTGTTTTGAACATTTTTAGCATATGTATCACTAATTTCTAATCGCATACAAAGGTGTATGTTCATGTTTTCTTTTGTGTCATGTGCAGAGACAGGTCTGAATCAAGAGCATCAGGTGTCGCGCCTCAATTAAGGTTTTGAGTCTCCCAAGCCAAAAGTACGGTTGATTATGGATTCTCGAAGACTGATTTATCAAGGCACAACTGTCGCACCCCATTTTTCGCCCCTTCACTTTTTTCGACTGGTGCATATTTTGTCGTTAATTTGAAAAATCGATCATTTCGCATACTTTCTTGTTTTTATTCATCATTTTAACTTCTATTTTAAAATAAAAAAAAGAATTAAAATAGTTTATCATTTGCATTTTCTGTCATATTCCTAATGAAAATTTTTTAGTTCAAAAATCTGTCTTAGTATTATTTTTTTTTATTTTTATCTATTTCTATTTCTTTTAGATATTGCTAACTATTTTCTTTTTTTTCTCATTATTGTTATTATTATTAGTATCTTTATTGCATTTTATTATTTCATCTTTTATTGTTACTAATTATTTTATTTTGTTCTCATTATTGTTATTATCATTGTTGCATTTTATTATTCTTATTTTATTTATTGTTACTAATACTTTTTTCTTCTTCTTATATTATTGTTACTATTATGTTATTATTTGTTTGTTTTTGTCAAAAATAGAGAAAGAAAATTACAAAGTAATTCCATTACAATATCATTCACTACTCTTCAAAGTGTAGGTTTCAAGTGCCTAAAATACAAAGTCTCAAGATCTAACTATTCATCATCCATTATTCAAACTCATTCAATTCTCAAGACATCTCAAAAATATAATTTCAAAGTTCCAAATAACTTTTGTTTCATCCATTTGCAAGTTGCACAAGTTTAAATTCCCAAATTACATTCAATCAAGCTCTAAGTCAAAATTACAAGTTACCACAACAATTTTACACAAGTGTTTGTACAAGAAAACAAATTCTAAACCTATCGTAATCTTCAAACTTGATTCATTCTTCCAAATCATGCCATAGAATTGTCCACAAACCTTGCTCCAACTTTCACCCAAAACTGTCCATTAAAACAACAAAACATATGGAAGCAAAATCAGTCAAATATTTTGAAAGAAAAGAGAGGGAAAATACATGTATGGTTACATGGGAAAATTAGAAAAAATGCAAAGTAGAAAAGGGACCTTTCAATGATAATTTTACTGCTGCACATCAGTCCAAAAATAATGCCCCAAAACTGTCTTTTGTCTGCTGTCCAGAACCACTGCTACAAACTCTGCCTTACAGTCCCAAAACTGTATAAGTTCTGTCCAAAATCAACCTATGTTGCAGCAGTCAAACTAGTTCTGCTATGTTGTCCCAATTTTGCACAAGTAAGGAAAGCTTTAACCTGCACAAAAAAGTAATAAAACAGTTATAACAAAACCAACTTTCACAACATTTTCCCCCCAAAATTTCATTATGTTCTCTATATAGACTTAGACTTGGTTAACAAAAACAAAAAAGAAGAGATATACCAACAACATAGAAAATCTCAAGGGGGGACAGGAAGTTAAAAAACATACAACAATTACTATAAAATGTTGGCTCGATACAGAAAAAACTTTTACTGAAATATCAACAAAAGGCTCACCTTCAAAATATCTGCTAAAAAAAATTCCTTCAAACTGCTTGCAACAGAATACCAGTTCAACACAGTTCACAGCTAAAACGCAATTTCAACAAAGACTGAAATAGAATTTTGAGACAACAGCAACCGAAGTCAAAGAAATTAGAAGAAGAATTTGTACCTAATGTAGATTTCCCTCTGGTATTCTTCTACGCATTCGTGAAGAGTTTGTTTCAACAATAACCGATACGATTCTCCGTCTCGCAGGTAAGCCTTAAACTTCACCATTTCCATATTTGAATATGTAAACCCATTACTAGCATCATATTAAAAATCTGAAATAGAACAAGAAAACCAAAGTATCTTAGCCTCCGTTACCTCACATCACTAACCGTCCGCCGCCGTTACTTAACAGTAACTCCCGTCCTCTTCAACACGCCGCCGCTCTCATCCCTCTCTGCCATACCTCTATTTCGTCACCTTCTTCTTTGCCATTACGCTTGGATTCTTTGCCCATCAGTTGATTCTGTACTCACTTCAAACGCGTTGCATCCTTCTCTGCTCATCTCCAATCCGTTCAACCCAAGACCTCCATGAGACCATCGTCTGGATTCATCGTCTGGTTCTCACGCTTCCAAATCAACCTCTCTCCTTCAAGCACGATTCACTTGGTTTTCCTTTCGATTCTGCAGCGTTGTGGCTTCGATTGCTTAAACAACTCCATCGCTTCAAACTCAGCGGCTCAGTCCCGTATTTGTCGTTTCTGTTTGCTCATCTACGATCATCTTCACATATCAACCTCGTCATACTATTTGAGGACACAAACCTCTGTGCAATTCACGCCAAGCGTGTGACTGAGGCTATGATGGTGGAGGATGGATTTGAGTGGTTTTGTGGGAGGAAGAAGAAAGGTGGGAGAGGGAAGCTTTATTTCTGCAACTATGGCCGTTCTGAGATAAAGAATAGTAGGGTTTTCTTCAACCCCAATTTTGTGAATTTGGAAGATGGGTCCGGACCACCCTGACCCGGTCCGGCCCATCATTTTTTTTTAATTATTTTTGTTTTCTGATCTTTATTTGTTTTACAACTTGGACTTATTGTTTCATTTCTTTAGGCCCACTTCGATTTGCTTCATACTTCACCTCATTATTTTGTTTAGACACTTTTTAAATTAGCTTAGTTTTAATTTATTTTAATTAGTTTCCAATTTTTAATTTAAACTCATATAAATAATTAGTTACCATGCATGTTTTTTGTTATTATTAGATAGTTTTTCTTAATTAGTTAATTTCAAAATTAATTTGGTAATCATTAGTGAACTTTTTATATTCGTTTTAGTTTAGTTTAATAATTTCTGTCAATTCGTTTGGTTACAAATCTTTTCTTTTCACATTTGGTTTTATCTTCCCTTTTAAATTAGAATCCTCATTGTTATTTATAATTTTCCCTTTTTGATTAATGTTAAATGTATGCTGGTTGATATTGTGCCAATTATTCTCCAATTAATTTCATGATTTATTTTTTCGCTGATTGCATCAATTCCAAGGAGAATATTTTAACTTTCTTGACTTCATGTCATCAAATATCTAATACGATCAAGCGAACACCCTCATTCATTTTTTTCCTATTTACTATTTTTTCCAAAATTAAGTCGATTTTCCTAAAAGATTCAAATTTCAAACTCACACCTTTTAAGTCAAAACTTCGACACTAGGTCGTCGTATCTTCAAAAATATCGTCCATACCCATCTTTAACCAAACAAACCATTTTAATCAAACAAACAATTTTAACCAAAAAACAGATATTTCAAAAGGTTCCTGCGAAGTACCGCAGATGCATTGGGTGCTAATACCTTCCCATTGTATAACCAACCCCCGAACTCCCGATCTCTTTTAAAAACGCATTGTATTTTCATTACTTTTAAGTATTATTTTACATTGCATACTTTAGGGTTTTATTTCGCTCTTTCCCCTTTTCCCTTGGGAATAATAAAGCGCGGGTGGCGACTCTTGCTTTTGCGAGTCAAGTCAATTAATAGCTTGATCTCCAATTTTCACCGCTACAGAATTGGCGACTCTGCTGGGGAAAGATTGACCTCTTGCTGGTCCATCCCTAAGTGGGTTAAGCCTAATTTGTTTTATCTGTTTTATCATTATTTGATGGTTTGATTATATGTATATATTATGATTATTTGGGTGTTGATAATATTTACAAAGGACAAGTCCTATACCCGGACTAAGTTACACTTAGGAATAGGACGGGCGGTATAGTCATGTTAACTTTGAGGGAGTAATCCCGAAGAAGGAGGCATGAGATCCCCCACTCAGTGGAAGGCCCTTTTGAACGTAATATTTGTTTACCGAGTAATCGGGAAGACATTATTATTTTCGACCTGGGAGCCAGAGAAGCTGGGAACCGTAGAACCCTAACCCATCTTGGCCTTTTAGGTGTAGCGCGGAGATTAAAACGGAGTAATCCGGAAGTAATTGTTACGCGATGCTACGCTCGAATGAGTTTCTCTTGAGAATATTGTTGATTATTGAGTAATCAAGACGTTGGTAATATCTGAAGGAGGAATGTAGACTCCGGGAACTCTTAGAACCTTGTTCTACAGGTGTGATTAAACCGTTAGTACATACCTTGGGGGTGTTCCTTACCTTGACTCCATGCTCGTGACGTTGAACCTTTCGACTTTATTTGTGACCTTGCTTGTGGTTGTTGCATAGCCATGCATTCATGCATCCATAAAACCCTTTTCACTTGATTTTCAAGGAATTTGGAGGTCTTTCTTTGTAAACATCACAAGTTTCGTCAATCTCAATGGATCCTGGGTGTTGATAGGGTGAAAACCCTAATCCACCAAAATGGATGATTGATCTTGATGATAACTTGATCAACGCTTTGATCCAATCTTCATACTTTGATGTTTACAACTTAATATCTTGAGCTCCTTGAAAGTCAGATAAAAACTCTCTTTTGCATATCATGCATCACTCTATGTTTTTTGTTTCACTTTCAAAGATCTTTTTCCAAGTCTTATTTTTTCCTTTGGTCTCACTAGTACAACACTCGCGCTAAGAGGACAATGGAGAATATCAAGCAAGAGGTTTCTGAACTCCGTAGAAAGATGACTATTTTGAAAGCTAGTATGGAGCATTTAACTGGTTTGGTTAAAATTCTATTTGCCGCCCAAGTCAATCCTTCTAGGAGGGAGGAGGCAATGATAAAAGTCTTCACTGAAACTCTAAAATCATTCTCTCATGAGAAGGTGATGGTTAATGCACCTAATGACTTTCCTGACAAGGTGAATGTGGGAGTGCGTCTAGAAGAAGATGTCGGAAAGGGATGTTCATATGAAGATGGTAGCTCAGCTAATGGTGTGAAGAAGTTTGATAATAACTTTTCCAAGAAGAGAACCATAGGAAGAAATATTCATCGTCAAAATCATCATGTTCCTCCTATTCATCAACAAAATCAGCAAGTTCCTAATCAGAGGAAAACACAGTTTGATCCAATTCCAATTACCTATACAGAGTTGTTCCCTATCCTGATGCAGAGGAATTTGGTTCAGACCCGACCTCCACCGAAGGTTCCTGAGAAGATACATTGGTACTACAAAGCTGATTTGGCTTGTACCTTTCATCAAGGTGCTCCTGGGAATGACTTGGAGGGTTGCTTTGCTTTGAAGATTGAGGTTCAGAAGTTGGTCAGAAGTGGTATCTTGTCATTCAAGGACGTTGGTTTTGAAGTTCAAATCAAGCATGCGCCAAAGAATAAACACGATTGATGGTGACTTTGATTTTTGAAGGATGTTTTCGGTAATTCAAGTCCAGATGGAAAACCTTCCCAGATTACTAACTTATTTATGCTTTTTGTAATTTTTCTTGTTTATCAAAACATTGTTTGCATGTAAGAACTTGTTTGCATCTGAATGATTATCTTAATACAATGAGTATGTTTGTCTTGAAGAAATTCATTCGTTTCACTCATATTTGTTTTCAAATTTTAAATTGCTTTTGCACTATGATACCAAATTGTTGCTCATTCTCTTGCCTAGGCAGAGATTGAGGGGAGGATGATGATCTAAAAAACACAAAATCTCTGGTTGTATGCTTTTTGAATAAAATCTTGCTGACGATGTACAAGCATTGTTTCAAATCCCTAAACACCGGAGATATAAGGAAGATAATCCCTTGCTAACCCCTTTTTGAGCCTTGAAGTAGAAGTTTCTTTTCTATACGAAAAAACCCTCAACTTTTAACCTGGGGCAGGGTAGTTTTCAGTTAATCTGATTGAGTGTTCAAAATTCATTAGGAAGATATTTCTGAAGAGAAACTACGAGGGCTATCCTTCATGTATAATGAATCTAGAGGATGTGGAACCACAATGTTATCCCTCACTCATCAAGAAACGAGGCAATCACAATCCTCTCAACAAGCAAAGACAAGCTAATGTCACACATTTTGTTCAAAAAGTCAAAAATCAAGAAAAAGAAAAGCCTGCTAAGTCAAAAAAAAAAATGAAAAATGTGTGACTTAGGCAAAATTAATGCATCCCGCTGGACTATCAATTCAAAAAATTAGTTCAGGCAAAAATTAGGGAAAATAAAAATTGCAAAGAAAGAACTACAAAGAAAAGTCCTCAGCAAAGAGCAAATTGGTGACTACAAACACGAAGACATGAGGGTGGTTTCTACTCCGAAAGCCTCGTCGTTTCCTTGACCGTCACAAAATCCTTTTGAGAAATGAACACTCATGTTGAATTAACTGAACATAGGGTTGGAGAACATCATGAAGAATGGGTGGGCACCAAATATTTTGAGCCTTAAATCCTTTTTTCTAAAACCATGAACCAGACCACATTACAACCTTCAAAAGTCCTAATTAAGCAAGGTTATTTTGAAAGCATACTTCAATGAGACAATGTTCCTGACTCCCATGAATGTTCTAAATAGTTATGTTGATATCATATGTTTTTCCTATACAAAAATAAATGATGCTCTAACTCGCAAAATTTGTGCGATATCTTTTCAAAATCTTCAAGACTTACATAACTGTTGCATTAGAATTTTCATTCTCATAATAAAATTTTCTAACTGCAAAACATTTGTTTGATATCAAGGAAACTCACATATAAGCACTAGTGATGAGTCTATTCTTAAGGCCTGAAGCTATGTTGAGTAATTGGAGAATAATTTCAATAAAAAATCATATCCAGGGGCATGTCAGCTGAAGACCTTAAGCACGGACATTTTGCTTCTCCCAGTCAATGCTTTTCCCAACTTGTTTGCTCGTTTGGGGCAAAATTTGAAGACTTTGTTGTGCCAACTACAGTTAATCCGGGGCAATCACGTCGAGATTTGATGAATCTCTCTAAGAGTTTGAAGACACCAGAGCACGATGGATGCCAAGTCTTTTGTAAAATCCTCTTGAGACGATTTCTCCTTATCAACCATATAGCTTGGGGCATTTTAGAAGTGAAGTTATTCGCAAGAATTTTCGTGCATCACCCAGCTTATCAACAGTAAACTTGGGGCATCCAAAATTAGTCCCAGGGGCAATCCAGATTTGTCAAGATATGTGATATGTATTACACACATTATCGGAGGGTGGTGTTCCCAGTATCTCCAGCTAAGCAAGACTTCTTTCCAGCTGAAACTTTGTTCGTGTTGTTATCCTTTAAATGGATTGTTTGCAATAGAAGACTGGACTTTGGGTTTTCTACCTGAAAATATCTTTCCCTTCATTGATATTTAAGCCTTGTAAAAGGACTTTGCTCCAAGGATGGCTTTCGTTTCTATCTCCAGTAATGTTACCATCCTGTTGAGATTAGCCGAGTGTCGAGTTGTACTATGATGTCTTATAATTTTCTGTCCATCTCCCCTGTCTGTTTTGTCAGCATATACATGACATTCATTTATTCATTCACACTTGCGTCATGCACGCACAGTTGTATTTGTTGATGTCATTGAGTTCGTATACCTTGGTTATGTCTATTCAAATAACATATTTGATCTTTCCAAATAGAGTGTCGACTTAAGCATAAAGTGTGCCTTCTTTCTAATTCCCCACTGAGTTAACTCTCGTGGAAGAATCTTGCTTTAGCTTTCCTTTTCCATCTCTGGATAGGATAAATCCCCATTTGAGTTATTTCCTCATTGGGTGGAGTCTTGTTTGACTGTTTTCTCTCCAGTTTATTCCTGGATTGAGCTGTGTCTCTTGTGAATGATACCCTGTGGATATCTCTAGGCTATGAAACCTAGACGGAGAGTGAATTTATTTTGCAACGTAAATACTTGGTCTCCTCAAGAAGGATTTATTCATGGTTCCCCATTGAAGATGAACTTTATTTCCCAGTAGTGTTATCACAACCTTCTTCTGGAATATCGACATGACAACAAGCTACTGACTCTTTATTTGAGCAGTTTGATTATTTCTGATTTCTCTACGACAAATGGCGGTCTCTTCATGAGCAGTTTGTCCATCCCCGATGAAATTATTGATTCTCACCTCCAGCAATATCTTCATGATATTTTATGGGTATCTTTGAGAAAACAGCAAGCGGCAGTCTCTTCATGGACAACTTGTATGTTATCAACACTTTTTAAAAACAGCAAGCGGCGGTCTCTTCTTGAGCAACTTGTATGTTATTGATACCTTGGAAAAAACATCAAGCGGCGGTCTCTTCATGAGCAACTTGTATGTTATTGATACCTTGGAAAAAACATCAAGCGGCGGTCTCTTCATGAGCAACTTGTATGTTATTGATACCTTAGAGAAAACAACAAGCGGCAACCTCTTCATGAGCAACTTCACTACAAGAAAATTAGTGTTTAACGACACAAAAATTGCGACAGTTATGTGATAACTGTCGTAATTGACATATAAAGACAGTGTTTACGACAGTTGACACCAACCGTCCCTAATATTTATTTTGCGACGGTATATTTAACCATCATAATATTATTATTACGACGGTAAAACAACCGTCGGCCCCCATTTAACACTTTTAACATTGATTTTTCACCAACAACTAGTCACGACGGTAAAATTAACCGTCCTAAAAGGTATATCACGACGGTAAAGCACCCGTCGCACCCTTAAACCTTTCACGACGGTAAAATTATCCGTCCTAAAATTCATTTCACGACGGTAAAACAACCGTCGCACCCAAAACCTTTAAAAATTCTCATGGGCACGACGGTAAAACACTCGTCGCAGTAAAAAAGTTAAAAAGCTCATAAAACATCGATTAGAATGTTTCTTTAACAGTATATTGGAATTCCTTGAACAAGTTCTGTTTCCGCGGCATCCTCGACGAATCAATCGGCGAGGGAACCCATTTCCTTATTCCATGGGTTCAAAAACCCTACATCTTCGATATTAAAACCCGCCCCCATACTTTCTCATCAATATCCGGCACCAAAGATCTTCAAATGGTTAACCTAACTCTTCGAGTCCTCTCTCGTCCCGACACCGTGAAACTCCCTGTCATCGTTCAAAACCTCGGTCTCGAATACGACGAGAAAGTCCTCCCTTCGATCGGTAACGAAGTTCTGAAATCTGTTGTGGCGCAATTCAATGCTGATCAGCTCCTTACTGAACGTCCTCAGGTTTCTGCCCTTGTTAAGGAGACTCTTGTCCGACGTGCTAGGGATTTTAACATCCTTCTCGACGATGTGGCGATCACACATTTGTCTTTGGTAATCAAGACACGACCGTGTGTGGAAATAATGAAACTAAAACAAGTAGTAATGTTTATGAAGTGAATGTTTATGAATTGCTGAGGAATTTGAGTGTGTTGGCGCCGAAAAACGGTGGATTTTCTGTTGGGTTTGTTGAGAGGAAGAATGTAACGGTGTATGGTTTGGCTCAGTGTTGGAAGTTTGTTACTGGTGGTAACTGTCGGAGATGTTTGGAGGATGCGGTTACTAGGATTGGTTCTTCGTGTAGGAAGAAAGAAGATGGACGGGCTTTGAATTCTGGTTGTTATTTGAGGCATTCACTACACAAGTTCTATAACAATTCAAGTAGTAATGATGTTGCTGCTGGAAATCGCGGTGAGCTATGATCTCTTTTTCTTTCGGTTAGCCATGAATTGTGCATAGTCACGGTTGTAATCTGATTTCGTCGAAACTTTGAAGTATTAATTTCATCAAAATTACAGTAGCATGATTATGCCAAACTTACCATTTTGAACTTGTTCATAATCTTGAATTTTTGTTCATTGTATTTTTTGTTAATGTAAAGTAGTTTAAAATATCAGAATCATGGTTTTAAAGTTCGGTTGCGATCGTTGATGCAGTTGCGGGTGTTGTGACATGGTTGCCGCAATGCGCATTGTGGTCGTTGCAGTGTGAATTTTGATTGAGGGGTTTGAAATAGACCAAAAACATTTAATCTTAAGATTTTTCATTACATAGTGAGGTTTTGAAATTTTTAGTTTTGGTGAAAATACTTGAAGAAACTTGAGCGACATTGTTAGATGCGGTTCATAATATAGTCGGACGTGTGGTTTTAAATCACACTGCAATTGCAGTCCAATACGGTTGTGGAAGCTACTGCATTAGCAATATTACAGCCGCAATTGCGTTGCGGACCGCAATTTATAACCATGGTCAGTATTATGATAAGAACATGATTGAAGCTTGAAACTGTGTTTTAGGACACCGAAAAATGGCTATAATATTGGCTGCATCTTCTGCTGTCTTGGCTCTTCTTTTGGTTACTGCAACAATGGGTTTCTTTATAAGAAAGAATGTAATGAGGAAAAGAAGAGGTACACATGTTTAATATTTAAAGACTGGAATTACTTTTTTCCAAAATACTTGTGCTAAAAGTTATTGCTATGTGTGTGTGTTTTTTTACTAGAGAGAAAACAATTTGGGACACTTTTGGATACAGTGAATAAATCCAAGCTAAATGTTCCATATGAAATTCTTGAAAAAGCAACAAATTACTTCAATGATGACAATAAGCTAGGACAAGGAGGATCAGGTTCAGTTTATAAAGTATATTCTGATCTTATCTTATTGTAACTTCTTACAACCTTATTGTTGTTAAGTGCTTATAGATTTTTCCTTTCATTTTAGGGAGTTATGCCAGATGGTAATACTGTGGCTGTTAAAAGGCTTAGTTTTAACTCGACACAATGGGTGGATCATTTCTTCAATGAGGTTAATTTGATTAGTGGAGTTCATCACAAAAATGATGAGAGAAGAAAGAATACTTACACGTCGGAGTCACTCCGCCAACGCTTCAATCGTGATTCAGGTATGCATTCTTAATTCCTCATTCTTCTATTATTTCCGATTCACACGTATTTTCTATTGATTCGGTACAATTCAATTATTGAAGTTTGTTGTTGTGATTGGTGTTGAAATAGAGGGAATGCTTCAAGCTTGAAGTCGCGATGATGCCATTGATGATGAAGGTTGACGAAGCTGTGTAGAATATTGTAGAGAGGTTGTGTATAGTTGGCTATTAGGATGGGATGGCTTTAGATTTGAATGAAACTGAGAGTTAGTTGCTGATTGTAATTTGAGTTAGCTAATTGTTAGTGTGAAAAAGAGTTAAAATCGTCAATATTATTAGGGCCTGACTGTTAGGAATATCAATTGAAATGGATAACTGTTAGCTTAAAGTTGTTAGAAATTGTTATGTGAGGGATTAGGTTTGTGAAGTGGATATTTAAATTGACTTGAATCTATGTGATTGACTGAATCAGTTTTGCTATGCATTGGCCTTTTTTAATTTTCTGAATGAGTGGACTATTTTTTATGGTATTCCTGAACCGATTTTATGTGTTGTAGGGTTGTTAACTGATATAATGATTGGTATTATGTCTGTTGCATTCACTTATTTTTGGTATTCGAGCTGAAGGAGAGAGTGACGCTGCTATATTGATTTCCGAGGCTACTGCTGCGGCTGGGATGGGGTTGGTTGAGCTTAGGAGGATTGAAGCTTCCAGGGAAGTTGCTGGAACGCTTGCGAAATCGCCTAATGTTACTTATCTTCCTGGTGGAAACAACATGATGATGGCTCTTAATCCTGCTGGTTGATTATCACGGTAATCATCTTTTCCTCACTTTTCAAATTTTTATTTATTTATTTATTGAGTTTGGTTTTTCATTGCGGTTATAGTCATGAATTGAGGCACACTGCAGTCCATATATCAAAAACCTTGCTGTCACAATTTAAATTGCAGTGGCAGGTGGCAGACCTTTTTAAAACCCTAGTTCATTGCTATTTGTTACATTGCAATCCATACAATGTGTGTTCTTCGTATTTATGGTTGCCATTGGATATAGATATATAATCAATAGTTAATAAGTTACTTGAGTTTCAATTGTAGTTAAGTAGCAGGTGTTGAAGTTGTTGGTAAATGCCACAGTGATATTGGTAGCGATGCAGTTTTTGAGACATGTTGTGATGTTGTTGCTGTAATATTGTTTGACGTAGAGTGATCTGGAAGAAAGTGGGGTGTTGCTTTTTAGTCTTCCAGTTGAATTAATGGATTATATGGAGGGTTCTTGTGAATGTGGTTGTTTGTTTTGGTTCTCGGTAGGTTGTACTTATAGCTTTTAGGAGGATTAGACTTAGATAGAGTGCTTATGGCGCTGTTCTGACCTTTCCTCTCCTAATAATTTTCAAGTTTCTTTCTCAAAGCTACATATTCTTTCTTCATTTGTTGATAGCTCTTCCTACACCTGAGTATGTTACAACAACAACCATTGTTAGGAATCATATTCCATAAATAAATGACTTAGATTTAATGCATGTTTCATTACCCTTCTGCATTTCCTGTCCTGCAATATTCTCTAATTAGAGTCGATTCTGCTTTCACCTTTTTGGCCCCAATGCTGCACAAATCACTATTTTATTCAAATCATTGTTCAACTAACATACTTTACACCTGAGGTGATGATATATACCTTGAGCTGTTTCCTTTAAACTGGTGCATGATTGTGTCCAGTTTGTTGAAATCCAATGGATTCCTCTCCCTTCCACATGCACAAAAATGACACCAATTTAGTTTAAAATTACGATGGAATTAACACACTATTATAAACTTACAGTGTCTGTTCCAAGTTAGAGATAAGCCTAGATGAATCGCGGTAGTAGAGAGTGACAATTTCCTCAACAAAATTAGGATTAGCATCATCTTGCAATTCTTCAAGTTGGATAAATTGTTCATCAAGAAGCCCCTGCATACTTCATTATTACTTAGGTAACTAACTAGCTAGCCATCAATATTAATCAAGACTACAAGAGTCTAATGACATTCTATATATATACCTGATCAAACAGTGACTGTTTCATTGCAGCAACTTGTCTGCGCCAATTGTTTCTGTCCATGATGATATGATTAGAAGAAGAAGATGAAGGGTCACAATGCTTTCTTAGACGATATTTCGTTGTTTCTTGTCAATTCAAAATTCAAGGGTATTGAGTTCTTGTTCTGGTGAAAATCAGTAACCGAGTAACCCATGATCTTCAGATTGCTCTCTCTTTGCTTCTCGGCAGTGACTATCATCAAGGAGTTCATGGTTTAGGTTCGGTAAGTCCTTAAACACATCCTTCATGATCATATTACTTTTTGCCTTTTCACCTCTTGTTGTTTAGCAGGGTTGAATATTTACATATTATATGGTTGCTTGTGCTTTTGCATGATTGTTTCCATGGTTGTATTGTAGGAGTTAGCTTGTCAGATAGTAAAATCAATTGGGGAGAAAGATGTTCTAAAAAAATTTGCTTCTGAAGGACTTGGATGGGTGAAAAAAAGAAAAGGTATATATACCCTTGTCATATCTATATTGCATTTTAGTTCCATTTTGCAACTTTTTTTAATCATTTTTTCTATCTTTTTTGTTTATGCAGGAGCTAAAAATAATATAGGAAAGGACGATACCATTTTACAAGTGATTTATGCTTATTTGAAGCCAAAATGCCACTCAGCTGATTCAGACTTTGTGCTCAAGTATGTTATTTAATTCATTGCTTCCAGTTCCTTTACTATACTCAATATTGATTGGAATTTAGAATATACTAATCAGAACCTACAAAAGCTATATGTTAATGGTAAAGTTTATCTGCTATAGTTCTGAATCTGGTTACTAATTAGATACGCACTTAAAATAAGAATTTGCAAAAATTTCTGTAGGGCTCATTCTCAGTATCCATTTCAACGTACTAAGCTCCATCATATATGCGCTGTATACTTCGAATGGCCTTCGGAGAGAACAGGTACTTTATCTAATTTCAAATGCTTATTCTTGTAACTCAAGAATTTGTGCTCCGAGTCATGTCATTAGTCTTAGTCAAGAATTGGTATATGCTACCTCTTGGATGAAAATTTGGAAGTTCTTTGAAATGATGATTGTTGGTTCATGAAATAGATGGATATATCCTTCCATGTATAGTCGAAAGGGATTTACGACGATTTGCCAATTTGCGATCAACTTCGTCTGAACTTGGGTTGAACCTTCCTTTACATGAGGTACTGCTAACTCTATTCCAATGGAAGACAGGTATATTAATTTGACGCATTTAAAGTTAAATTTTATGAGTATTATTTTAAAGATTATTATTTTAATACCTTTTTTTAGGGATTGGAATCACCCGCTGATGGTAGACGTTCATCTGAGTCTAGCTATCGTATTGGAGATAATGGAACTTCAGGGGGGACAAATTAGACTTTGCTATGATCGAGATAATTAGATTGTGAACTTTCTCATGTATTTTTGGCATAATGATACTTATTATTATAAGATTAGGAATTGATATATTTTGGGTTTTTTGTACTACTTGACATGATTATGGAACTCGCATTTTACATGATTATGGAACACACATTTTTTTGGATATTATAATGCTTATTTGATGTTAAATATTTTTTATTGAAATTATTTTTACTATATTACAAAGTGATAGAAAATAAAACAAAAAATAATACTATAAATAAATATATTAAAGAAGAAATAATTTAAAGAAAAAAATAACACAAAAAAAAACTATATTTAAAATTTTTTACATAGATAATAATTTAAATAAAAAATATATATAATAGAAAAATAAAAAAAAATCAAGACATAAACAAAAGTCATGGCGACAGTACCGAACCGTCGTAATCAACAAAAGTCATGACGGTATCGAACCGTCGCCATAAACAATTTAATCAATTTCAAAAGATATTCACGACAGTATCGAACCGTCGCCATCAATAATTAAAAGAAACTCAAAAGATAGTCACGACGGTATCAACCCGTCGTAAACTTGAATGACAGTTTTTGTAACCGTCGCGAAATAGGTTGGGGACACACACTTCTGCGACGGTAAAGCAACCGTCGTGGAAAGCAAATTGCGACGGTTTTAACCGTCGTAATCTACAAAAATACCTGTCGCAATCTGCCAATTTTCTTGTAGTGCTTGTATGCTATTGTCACCTTTGAAAACAGCAAGAGGCAGTCTCTTCATGGACAACTTGTATGTTATCAACACTTTTTAAAAACAGCAAGCGGCGGTCTCTTCTTGACCAACTTGTATGTTATTGATACCTTGGAAAAGACATCAAGCGACGGTCTCTTCATGAGCAACTTGTATGTTATTGATACTTTGAAAACATCGAGCGGCGGTCTCTTCATGAGCAACTTGTATGTTATTGATACCTTGGAAAAAACACCAAGTGGCGGTCTCTTCATGAGCAACTTGTGTGTTATTGTTCTCTTGAAAAACAGCAAGCGGCGGTCTCTTCATGAGCAACTAGTGTGTTATTGTTCTCTTGAAAAACAGCAAGCGGCAGTCTCTTCATGGACAACTTGTATGTTATCAACACTTTTTAAAAACAACAAGCGGCAGTCTCTTCGTGAAGCAACTTGTGTGTTATGGAGACTCTTGACAAACAGCAAGTGGCAGCTCTTCATGAGCAGCTTGTGGGTTATAAGTAGCAAGTGGCGGTCTCTTCATGAGCAACTTGTGTGTTATTGTTACCTTTGAAAACAGCAAGCGGCGGTCTCTTCATGAGCAACTTGTGTGTTATTGTTCTCTTGAAAAACAGCAAGCGGCGGTCTCTTCATGAGCAACTTGTGTGTTATTGTTCTCTTGAAAAACAACAAGCGGCAGTCTCTTCATGGACAACTTGTATGTTATCAACACTTTTTGAAAACGGCAAGTGGCAGCTTCTTCATGAGCAGCTTGTACGTTAGTTTTTTTGGAAGACAGCAAGTGGCGGCCCCTCTATTTGAGCAACTTATGTGTTATTGTTACGTTTTGGAAAAAAACAAAAAGCGGTGGTCTCTACATGAGCAACTCGTATGTTATTGAAACCTTTGAAAGGAAGCAGGTGGCGGCCTCTTTATTTGAGCAGCTTGTGTATCCCCAACAATAATGCAAACGACACCTCTTCGGAAAAGTTCTGTGGGGAAACTTGTATTCTATCCGTTTCGAGCGATATCTTGGTTAAAAAAAGGAATGTGTTACCGTTCTTGGTAAAATTCAGAAATCAGAGATGTTTATCTCCAGCCACAGTGCTGATGTCAATCATTTTGTTTTCCAGCCACAGTGCTGATGTCGATCATTTTGTTTTCCAGCCACAGTGTTGATGTCAATCATTTTCCAGTCTCAGTACTGATGTCCATCATTTCCTTTTCCAGTCACAATACTGATGTCAATCATATGCTTTTCCAGTCACAGTACTGTTGTAAATCATTACCTTTTCCAGTCTCAATACTGATGTAAATCATTCAAGAGTCTCTCATTTGAAGTCTATGACTTTGTTTCCCCAGTGGAGTTACAACCTCTTCCTCTGTGGGATTATTGTATAATGTGATTGGTTTCTCCAGCATAGTCTGTCTCATATGGCGTCATTCCCCATAAAATTCAGAGCATTACATTCATATCATATCATGAACATAATCGCGGTATCTTAAGGCCAAAAATTGTGTATTCTATATTTAAGTCCCTTCAATCTCGTCGAAATGAAGATCCCAATCTTCATATCTCCAGATAGAAGAAACTTAAATAGGGGCAGCTGTTGTACCCCAATTTTTGACCTAAGATCCCA